AAGTACCGGTTTGGTACGGGTATCGGATAAAACCTAAATGATACCCATCCCTACTGCTACATCGACATGGACATGGAGACAGGCGGGAGACTCAACATGCCAACTTTAACTCCTGTAGCTGGTGTAGGGAGAGCTGCGTCACACAGGGGATGGAGTGGTTCAGTCTGCATTCTGGGCGGCTGCTGCCTTGGCGGTGAATGGGAAACTCCTCCAGTTGTAGCCAAAACAGTTTTTGTGATGCTCCGATAAACGCTCCACAAAAAACGGGTTGGCAGCAATAATCCAACATAGCTGGACCTGAATAGATTCCTTCTCCACCTTCTGCAGAGAAGATAATCCAAAATCCATGGAGCTGTGCGACGTGGACACTAAACTAAATAAAGTTTGTGAAATGAATGTCTGCTGGGTCCCACATGGTCAGATGGCTCTGTCACAGTCTGGCAGAGGCAGACTGTATGGAGTGACGTAGAGGACCCAAAATGCTGACAAAAATGGAACGTGGAACAAAACTTGAATTAGCAAAAAGTGAGCCGTTTAATGAGGCTGTTAAAAAAGAAAAAAAATACAACAAAGGCAAACTGAAGTAAAACTAACATTAACCTAAACTGAAAGAACTAAACAAACAACATGAAATCTAGAAGCATGGAGAGAACAACAGACGACCTGACAAAAAACAACCAAAAACACAGACTAAATACACACAAGGGTGATTGGGGGAAGTGGAAACACATGGGGAAACAGTTGACACTAGTCTGACATAACGAGACAAAGGAAGCAAAGCTGACTACTCTGACATAGGATACAGACCTTCAAAATAAAACAGGAAACATGAGACGCAGACATGACATTACAAACTTGATAACATAAGACACGCAGCATGAAACACAAAGGGTGAGGGAAACTTAAATACAGGGGAAGAAAATAAAAGAGGAATCTAATAACCAAATGAACTTCGCTGACCTAAAGAACTTAAACATAAACCATTGTAATTTAGCGCCCAGCTATCTTTCTGAAC